CCTCCGTGCCACCTACCACAAGCACACGTGGCACTACACCTACACACAACCCTATCAGCACAACCAAAACCACCACTTCCCTTGTTAGCCATTCTTCCTTCCCCACAGAGGGTTCCACTTTGAACCGTCCTTCCACATCCGTCAGCCCCATCCCCAGTCTCTCCCCACACCCTGTAACCACCCAGGCCAGTTTGCCCAGTGTGTCTCTATCCTCTACTCTGTTCCCTGTCACTTCCGCGACTTCTGTCATCTCTACAAGGAGCAGCACCGTAGCCTCGGCCAACTCCGCCACTCCTACCTCCCAGGGACCCCTGGCGCCCAGCCCAGCGTCTCCTACGTGGTCTGCCCCCCCAACCTCCAATAGTACCTCCTTTCCGCACTCCACATCTGCTACCACTGCCCTGCTCTCCTCTCTTTCCCCGTCTGGGCCCATCCTGGTCCCCTCCAGTCGTCCCCCCATCTCCATCCTGCCGTCCTCCCCCTCCCCTGGGACCGTCCCCAGCAGTCCTGCTGGGCCCACCACCTCCAGGACCACCTCCAAGAGCCAGACTTCTTCCCCCCTCTCCTCCCAGTCAACCTCTCTCTCCACTAGTCTCACCACGCCCACGCCCACGCAAGGGGTCCTTTCTTCCACTGTGGGGGTGACAACGGCCCCCAGTTCTGCAGCCACGACCCTCACCACCAGCCAGCCAGGCCCCGGCAGCTTAATCACCACCATGATGCTAAGCAGCTCCGCCCAGACTGCCCCGGAGTCCTCGTCCCCGGTCACGGCGCTCCCCGAGTCCACCGGTAAGTGGCCTCCATGCCCCGAGTCCCTGTCACGCGGATGATCATCTGGATCCTGTGGTGAATGCCGTCCTCTCTCTGTACCAAGTCCCTCTTGGCCACGCTGTGCTGACAGATAAGTTGTTATCATGGTCCCCACCCCCACCCATGTCTGCAGGACAAAGCTCCCAGACCTGAGCCCCTAGCACCACCACCCCCAGCCAGTATGTGCACCTGGTCATACCTTGGGGTTTCCAAGTGTTGGTGGCTGCCCAGGCCTCCTTTGAGCAATTGGATGGGCAGCTGCCAGGCACTGCCCAGCTAGTTACATGGCATCCCCTCCCACGGCCCCCTGGCCTGGTCTTTCTGTGGGCAGTGTTTGCCCAGCCACCAGGGTCACGTTCCAGGCCAGTCCCAACTACCTGGTGTCCAGCCGCCTGCTCTCAGGCCCCCTGCAGGCCTGCTGCTGCTCCTCGTTCCTGCCTCGCCACCCTCACCCACGCTGCAGTTCTGAGACAGCCGGGCTGCTCTTTGTGACACTCCTCACACAATGTCCCTGAAAGCGTGGCTAGCGACCCCCGGAGTTCCAGCTGTCTGGTGACCCAACTGCCCCCCAGGTTGACAAGGCTGAGTGGGGAGAGAGGCCCGAGGCCGGGCGCCCAGGTTCTGCTGCACTGCCCTGTGGCTCGCAGACCTCCCCACACCTGCCCCATCCTCTGGCCCCAGTGCCCTAGCATCAGGCCTTCACCCTGCGGGACTGGGGGAATGTGCATAGCAGGTCCAGGGTCTTCCACTGGCTCGCTGAGGGCCAGTCACCTTCCCCTGGCTGCAGGACGGTGCTGACTGTCCGTCTGCCTTTGACTCAGGGGCCTGCAGTGTGCAGGAGCACCAGGAGGAAATCACCTACCAGGGCTGCTCTGCCAACATCACGGTGACCCGCTGCCATGGCACCTGCATCTCCTCTTCCAGGTGGGTACTTGTCCTGGCCACAGGGCAACCCCGCCCAGTGGAGTGGCCCCCAGCCCTGACTAACCCTGCCCCAGAGCTGCGGGCCATCCCTGAACCCCTCTCTCGTGGCTCCTTTGCAGCATCAACTTGGACACCCAGCAGATAGACACACAGTGTGGCTGCTGCCGCCCCGAAGTGTCGTACAAGAAGCCACTGGTGCTGCCCTGCCCAGACCCCAGGGCCCCTGGGCGCAGGCTGGTGCTCTTACTACAGGTCTTCCGCAGCTGTGTGTGTGGCACCCAGGCCTGCAGGGACTAGTGACCTCTGTGCGCCAGGCACCGAGAGCAGCAGCCAATCCACGCTGGCTCCCAGAGGTGCCACAGGCTGGCTCCACCTGCCACCCTCCTGACCTCCAGTGGCCGAGGCTCCTACAAAGCCACAGACTGTGGAGGGGACTGTTCACAGCACCCTTGGAGGGAGCCAGCCCAGCCCTGCAGGCAGGGGGCCACAGAGCGCACCAAGCTTGTGAGAAGACTGCTGTCGGGCAGAAGAGAATCCCCCCCTCCGCCCTTTCCCTCTCCTCCCCCCACCCCCCCACCGGTCGGGGCACATGCCAGGCAGAGAAGCAGAGGCAGCAGTGTCCGCCCCTCGTCTGCCCCTGCCTCGCTCAAAGAACCATCTCCAAGAGGCCCCACGTCACCAGCTGCTGTGGGCCCCCGGGCTCGGTGGAAGCTGCGCCAACCACAGATACACAGGGAATAAAGTGAGTCAGTCATGTCCATGCAGAGACCTGTCCTCATGAGATGCTCATCCCTGGACACTGGCTACACTCAGCACCATGGCCTTGCACACCATGCCCCACAGCATCCCCCGACACAATACGCCATGGCCTTGCACACTGTGGCACCCCGACAACCCACCCCTCCCCTAGAAGGGCCTAGGCCCCTGAGCTCCCCTGCCCATAGATTGTTGTGGAGGCAGGGACCCACTGTGCCAGCTTGCCAGCCTTGTCCACTGCAGAAAAGCTCCAAGGGGCAGGGTTTGGACACCAGCCCAGCCCTCATGCCCCCACTGACATAGGCCACTGGGCTCTGTGACCCAGGACCTTGAGTGACAGGAAGCATTCAAAGTGACTGGCTGTCTGGGTGACAGCACATCAAGGGCCTGTCCTCTTCAGAAGAAGGTGGTCCCACCTGTGAGTCCACATTTGCCACATGAAGACAGTACTGAATGCCCCAGGGGGTTGGCATTCTTGGGCTGGCCAGCAAGGGTGTGGGGGATGGTCCATGGCAGCAGAGGCCAACATGAGCCCCCAGCCGCCCACTAGGCCCGAGCAGCTGCATGGCCTATACCAGCAGCACACAGGTGAGGCTTGGCCTGAGCAAGGGGTGCACATGACCCCCTGCCCCCAGAAATCCTGGGAACGGGTTCGTGTGCAACAACAGTGCCCACGTGTTCTTGCCCATCCGACTCTGGCCACAGCCACGTGGACAACGGGCCCAGCAGATAGGGCAGTTGCTCTACGGGAGCTTGGCCTCTGCTAGACAGGGGCAGAGGCCATCTGTCCCTTGTGTGCCCCACCCCGACCCAGGGTGCACACAGAGAGGTGGGTGGGCAAGCCATGTACGGATGCCCCAGAGGGCACTCACACGTAGCCCCCATGCAGTCGCCGCTCAGGAACAAGTGAATGAAGAGCCAAGACAGGCCAGACGCCCCTTCAGACACTGGTATTGGAGAGAGGAATGGTGGATGTCAGTCTGGTCAGGACACACAGTTTTGTTGACAGTCATTACAAACACATACATCTCTAATGTAAAGACTTTACAACCTGCCCCATCCGCGGCCACACAGGGCCCCACTCCCGCTCCTGGGCCCCAGCAGCCCCGCCAGCCCCACAGAGCAGGGCGGCTCCAGGACACAGTGGACAGAGTCCAGGCCAGTCACAGTCGGGTTTCCTTTAATGTGCAGCTTTGTCAGGCATGCAGCCGGCCTGCTGCCTGCACAGCCCAGGATGCCGGGCGCCCTGTCGCTCTCTTCCCGGACCCACAGCTGTCCGTCCATCCTCGGCTGGGACAGGGCTGGAGAGGGGTGGGAGGGGCCGGGGCTTTGCAAGGTCAGGTGGAGACACAAGGCAAGCTGGCTGCACCCAGCCTAGAACTGCTCCGAGAGCAGCTCACACAGCCGCTGGGAGACGGTGTCCTTGCTGGTCCGCACGGTGAGCCGGTACATCTGGAACGAGCACGCCCTGATGTCAGCCTAGAGGCGTGTGTCCCCCCTCCCCCCACCCCAGGGTGAGGGGAAGGGGCTGGCCTAGCGGCCTCACATGGAGCGGAACCAGACGGCCCATGATGTGCCCAGTACAGTGACGAGCACAGGCAGGCTGGGTGGCCAAGGCACACTTGTACAGGGGCTGCAGGGGACAGACATGGTACACAGTGGCTGTCTGGGGAGGGGGTGGGGGGGACGACATCAGAGAAAAGGAAAAGTGTGACTCTGGGCAAAGGGCACAGGAGCGTGTGAGCCACCGGTGAGGGCCCCGCACGGTGGGGCGCTCAGGGGAGGAGCTGGGGGAGGAGAAAGCACGGCTAACCTGAGCCTGCAGGTTGGGCTCAAGGCGCAGCAGGCAGCCGATCTGGGTGGTCTTGGTGTGGATGATGCCAGCGCCCACAAAGTTAGCAGGGTTAGGGTCAACCTCTTCAAGGAGTGCAGGGCCAAACCCGATAATCTGCCAGAAGAGAGGTGGGCAGGGCAAGGCTGGGTGGCAGCGACCAAGACCCAGAAGACTCAAGGGGTGAGTGCAGAGCCACTGTCCTGTCCTCCCCTTGCCCTCAGGAGCGCCCAGCCAGCACACACCTTGGCTTTGGTGATCTCTGTGTCCATCGGGTGCTTGGCTTTGAAGATGTTCTGCACCTCCTGCTGTGGACTGCGGGAGGGGGAGGGGAGGGGCAGGGGGCGGGTGAGCCTGTCTATCGGGTGTCCGGCCCCAGCCACAGGGATTGGGCGTGAGCCTGTCCACCGGGTGTGCAGCCCCAGCCACAGGGATTGGGCGTGAGCCTGTCTACCGGGTGTGCGGCCCCAGCCACAGGAAGTGGGAGTGAGCCTGCCCACGATGTCCTAGGCCTGCCCACCAGCTCGTCAGGGCTCTCACTTGCTCAGCTGCTTCCACCGTTGGAAGAAATCCTGAGATGCCATCTCCGTGGGCTGGAAAAACTTGTTGAGTGTGATGGGCAGTTTCACGGACACGTTCTGGAAGGTCCCTCCATACCTAAGTGCAGGGAGGAAACCAGAAGTTCACTGGGCAGCCTGGCCCACAGCTGCAGAGCCTCGGGGAATAGGAGGGCACACACACCACGGGTGTCCTGCTGACTTGGGCCTTGGGGGCATCCTGGTGACAGAGCTGAGTAGGTCAGTGGCCTGGCGGGCAGGGGAGTCATGGGCCTCTGTGTCCCCACAACCACAGCTTCGGGCTGCTGACACTGGGGACACAGGTACACAGCAGACCAGAGCTCAGGGTCCAGTGCCCCCCACCGCCTGCTCCCGGCCTCCACGGGGCTCGTGCCACATGAGGTACAGTTTGCCTACAGGCTGAAGCTGACCACCTGCACAGCTGAGCCTTAAATCCTGCGAGACCAGCACCCCAAGTCCTCGGTGCCTGTCAGCATTAGACTTTTCCACAGCCCCTGCCTGATGAGTCTCGAGCGGCTACATGCTCACTGTGCGGCCTCACGGAACATGGTGTTGGCTATGCAGGCCAGGAGCCTCCCCACTCCAGGGGCAACCATAAAAGGCCGTACGCCTGGGGCCTGAGTCTGAACCCCCACTCCCTGACAAGCACCATGCTCAGGCTGCACCATGGAACAGGGGTGCCCTCTTCCTCATGCATTCCCCACGTGAAGGGGCTGTAGGCTGCCACTGCTGGCCCTGTCCAGACGGCAGGCACCCCCAGTGAGTCCTGGGCATGCCCAGTCTGGCTCACAGCCCGGAAGCCAGGAGCGGAAAGCAGGTCTGCAGGGCGCCTGGCAGGCTCACCTGAACTGAGTGTTGAGCACCGGCGCTTCAGCGAAGTCGGCTAGACACTCGATGTTGACCACCTGCTGCACCTGCGCACCCCCGTCCACGGTGGGGTCCACAGGCTTGGTCTGCAGGGTCAGGTGTGGGTGCTCATTAAGGAGGACAAGACCAAGAGCGGCCACACGGGCAACAGGGGCCAGCAGAGCCGCACCCTCTGGGTGCCCAGGGAGCACACACGCGCTGACCATGACTAATGACTTCACTACTGGCCTTTGAAGTCAGACCCTCAATCGGGTGCCAAGGAGAAGCTGCTGCTGCCACCAGCAGAACCCCCCTCCGCACCCCGAGTGGTGTGAGTCAAGGCCTCCTTAAAGTCCAGGCATCTCGGGCTCTGTCCTCCCATCCAGCCTATCTTCACATGGGCATCCCTGTCATGACCCCCGCTGGAGGGCATCCTGGGCATCCTGGCCCAGACCCACACAGCCACAGGGGCTGAGGAGCTGGAGGTCAGGGGCTCCATGGGAGCAGACTGGTCAGTCCCACGTTTGTGGGCTGTGAGTGAGTGTCAAACACTGGCCTTGCAGTTCAGTCTCGTCATCTGGCGGACAGGGGTCTGCCCTCTGGCAAGACGGCCATGGCCATGTCTTCTCCAAAGCTTGACGGGTGATGGAGCCACCTTCCTTCCGTGTGGGGGGGTCCACCCACCAGTGGTGTGCAGGTTAGTCAGCATGGCCTACCCCCAGAAGGCTTGGTTCAAGTTCACCTTGAAGTCCAGGAGAAAGGCTGTCCATCCCCTGATGACCAGTCATCCCTGGACAGTCGCAGGGCACAGGGCCCTGCCACCCGACAGGCCACCACACATCCCTGGAGAAGCCCGCCACATGTGCCCACATGAGCAGGCTGGAGCCACTACTCTGTCTCCACACTAAAGAAGGACGGAAACCCTGTCTGAACAGTGAGCCCCAAAGCAAAAACCAAAGCTCTTGCAAGGAAGCAGCCTCCACCTTGGGGTCTCCGCCCCCCCATGTGCCAAACAGGGCAGCAGAGAAGGCACCAAGGGCAGCAGGAAGTCACCTCCCAAGAGAAAGGAACCCACTGAAGGGACCCAGTCACACAGCCCTCCCCAGGGACCCTGCAAGGCGCTCTTAGAGACCCCCTCCCCCCCCAGTCTACTCTGGAGCCTGGCCTCATGCAGAGACAAGGCGCGGGCTGGCCTGCCCACAGCACTGGCAACCTTGCTACGCAGACCGAGAGCGGGCCCCAGAGGCTGCACACGTGCCCACTTGAGGCCTGGAGGACACAGAGCCAAGGATATTGGACTGCAGGCCATCCGAACAGATGAGCGTTGGGGTAAAATTTAGGAACTGTGTGGAGGTCTTGTTTCCATAAAATATAAACATCCGACCTGGAGGGAAACAAGAGGGCAACAGTTCGCTCCCGCCCGCCCCCCCCACCCCAAACCAGCCGCTGCACAGCTGAGGCAGGGCCTCCTGCTTCTTCAAGCCCCCAGCCCCATCCCGCCTGGAGATGATCAGTGCCTTCCTAGCCCACCCTTCTCCTCAGAGACGACAGCGTCCTTCGCCTTTGCCCTGGGTCTGCAGGCACGTGCAAAGCTCGACCCACACAGCTGGGGGCACGAAGAGGCCCCTAAAGCACCCAGAGTCCTCCACCCTGCCTGCCTGCCGCCCGCCCACCCACCACAAATACAGTGCCGGGTCCCGCCGGGCTACCCCTGTGAGGATCAGCAGCCCGGTGTCGCTTTCCCCACAATCCCAAACCCAGCCGAGCCTTGGGGCTGTGTGGCCTGGGGCAGATGTCGCACAGCCGTGTTTGCCCTCCCACCCCAACACGTCTCTGACATGGTCCCAGACGCGTACACACACACCCAGGTTCTGCCGGAACTCCGACTTCAGTCCAATCTGCAGCAGCTGATTCTCAAAGAGCACCCCGTTGTTTTTGCAGACAAACCTACGAGACAGGAGAGGCGGGCAGGTCACCAGGGCACTAGGAACCACTGGAGCGGGGCTGCCGCTGCGTCATGAATCACAGCATCCACACTAGGGGCGAGTGGTGTCTTGGCGGCCACGGCAGGACTGAGTCTGAGCCCCTCGGTGCGAGGCACACACAAGAGTCCAGAGTGCCCCGTGTGGACACACCAAGCACACACTCTCTCCTCCCCTGGGGAACACTCGGCTCACGTGGACACACACTCAGGCACACACTCTCTCCCCAGGGGACGCTCTGGCATCAGGTGGACACACACACTCAGGCACACACTCTCTCCCCAGGGGACGCTCTGGCATCAGGTGGACACACACACACACACACACACACACACACACACACGAGCTGCCGTTGCCCACTGGTCCCATGCTCAGCATGGTCCTGCTGGCTGCAGGGCACCCTGGCCCTCGGTCCGGTGGGCTTGGGTTCGGGAGGTGGGAAGAGTTGGGGTGGTGTGTAAAGGGCATGGTGACAGAGCCAAGCGGCCAGGCTGCTCCGTGGGCACCAGGCTGCCCCACCCTGAGACCTCCGCGCCAGGGCCTCCGAGTGCCCGCGCTGCTTACTTGTGTGTCAGCTCATCGGCCTGGCGCACAGTCTCAGCGGGCTCCTCAGAGACGAGCCCCGTGGAGGCCGCCGGGTCAGGGCTACTCAAGCAGCACAGAGAGCACAGAGACGCAAGAGGAACACAACAGTTAGTAGACAGCACACTCACACCACGTGGACACAGCTCGGCGGGCCTGTAGGCCTCTGGCCTGCACCCTCTGACACCAGTCCTCCAGCCACACCCACAGCACACATCCTCTCGGCTATATGGACAAAACTTCTCAACCGAAATGCTCACCCTCTAGTACACATGCTTCCAGAGCGTTCCACAACACGTGCCATCACTGCCCTGGCCTGGCTGCGAGAGCCTCACCACAGCTCCCAGTGCCAGCAGCACCAGGTCTGGCTTCTGCTGCAGCAGCACCCAGTCTCCAGGCCAGGCTGTGAGTGCCCAGGGCCATGTGATATTCGCGCACCTCCCACCACATGGGCAGAGCTGCAGCAGGTGTCCTGCATACTGCCTGGAGCACGTGCGCCCCCCCACCCCCCCCACCCTGCCATTCTCTCCAAACAGCCCTGCTGCCCAGCAGGCCTGCAGCCAGAACTCCTGCTCTGAGGGAGCTGAGCGCAGCTCAGGTGCACAGCTGCCAGGGGTACTGCCCGGCGGCACAGGGAGCAAAGCAAGGCCTATGCCAGCTTCAGAGGGTCTCGTGGAGGAGGCGGCACAGACGCCCAGAAGACAGTCCCGCCGCAGCAGCTCCCCAACCCAGGTGTCCTCTGCCAGAGCACGGCCCGGGGCCAGGCTGCGCCACCAGCTGATTCTGAGAGGTGCCACATCACTGGGCGGGCCTCAGAAGGGTCCTGAGGCCTTGGAGGCAGACCTGGGGCTACACATCTGGGGACGCAGGCCCGGCACAGACACGCCCGGGCCTGACAGGATTCTCGCCAGGGAGCCACCAGCACTCCAGGGCCTCTTTCAGCCATGTTTCTGGAGGAACACCAGTGCAGATCCCTGTATTGCGGCAGTTCTCAACCTGTGACCTTTCGAGGGTCGAACGACCTTTTCATAACAGTAACAAAATGACAGTGATGAAGTAGCAATGAAGCTAATTTCAAGGTTGGGGGGTCCGCACAATATGAAGAACTGTATGAAAGGGTCTTGGTGTGAGGAAGGTTGAGAACCACCCAGCTGTACAGCATGCGTGCATACTCAGACACAGGCGTCCTTAACCCACCAGAACTCCTGCACGCTCACGAGAAAGCGGGACAGCCTCTCCCATAAGTCTCCCCGTGGGGCAGAAACGGGCCACACCCTGCACAGAGGGATCTGACGCTGGCCCCCAGGACGGGCAGAGTGGGAAAGCGCAGGGGGCGGCGAGAGGGAGGAGGGGGAGGAGGAGCAGGAGGAGCGTGTGCCAGGCACGCTGCTCTCAGAAGGGGCGCTTCTACCCAGAAGGCAGCGAAGGGAGGGGAAGGGCCGGCGGCAGCCAGCACAACACACCCACCCACACTGCCCCTCTTGAAGGGAAGAAAGCCCAGCCCTCCTGCCCAACTACCTGGCGAAGTTATCTTCGGAGCCGGGAGCGAGAGGTGCCACCGCGGAAGCGGAGTCCGAGAACACGTCCACGAGCAGCCCCCCACCAGCTGAGGAGGAGGCGGGGGCAGCAGGGGCGGGGGGCACAGCCCCGAGCCCCAGGAGGTCAGCCGATGGCGAAGGGGTGGACTGGAAAAGAAGAGGGGGCATCAGCCAGAGCCCCGCCCGGCACACACTGCTCCAGTCCCATGCCCCGCCCTGGCCCTGGGCAAATACTGTTGGTGGCCAGTGAAGGTAAACTGTCCCTCAGCCGCGTCTAAAGGCCCGTCACCAGTGCATGCCACTCAGAGCGGGCACTGAGGAAGGAGCGCACAGCAGCGTGTCACATGGTGGGCAGTGGGGGCGGCGGCTCTGTACTCCTGCTTCCCTGAGTGGGCGCTTGGCTGCCGGGAGCAGCAGACAGAAGCCTACAGGGCAGACTGCTGACAGGACAACCAAGTCCCCCACAAGCCTCGGGGTGCCATGCAGAATGGCCATGGTTCCCATGCGCTGCGGCAACCCCGTTCGGCCCACCATGCCCACTCTCCAGGGAGGATCGGGGTGGGATCTGGACACCCCCAGGACAATGGGAGATGGTTAGCATTTATCGTGACCCCTCCCACTCACCTCACCTCCAGCTCTGCACACTGAGCCTCCTTCACGCTGAGCCTCCACTCCCAAGGACTGCCCCCCCTGGGGCCTAGACAGCGCCAGACCCACAGACCTCTGACAGCAGCTCAGTGACAAGACACACATACCTTATGCCCCATGCCAATATGAGCACAGCAACGTGGACTGAGCACCGCTGAACCCGTGGGACAGCCTCACACTCAGACCCCAGGTCAGCCTCACACTCAGACCCCCAGGTCAACCTCACACTCAGACCCCCAGGACAACCTAACACTCAGACTCCCAGGTCAGCCTCACACTCAGACCTCCCAGGACAGCCTCACACTCAGACCCCAGGTCAGCCTCACACTCAGACCCCCCAGGTCAGCCTCACACTCAGACCCCAGGACAGCCTCACACTCAGACCCCCAGGTCAGCCTCACACTCAGACCCCCCAGGTCAGCCTCACACTCAGACCTCGGGCAGCCTCTCATACTCAGACCCCCGGGACAGCTTCACAGGGAAGGTTTCCTAAGACCCACTGGACAGTTGTTTGGGGGCAGATGGTGGGCAGGCTCCTCATCAGACAACTGAAGCCACTGACGGTCCTGGGCCCTTGCTGCACCCAAGGGGCTCTTCCCAGCGAGTGTGTTCTCCAAATCCGAGTTCTACATAGGACCATCACCTCCCACCCACAAAGAGTGTTAAGTGAAAAGTCAGCCTCTCGCAAATGCGGGCTCTTGCTGGAGCCTCCTGAGCGTGGCTGTCATGGACAGTGGTTCTGCCGTCAGCGTGTGGCCTCCAGCTGTGCCACATTCAATGCCCCTCACATTTCAGGAGCACGTCAGAATAGATGACCAGACAGCACTGCCCTTGAACGAGATGCCAGGCAACAGTGGCCTGAATGGCAGGCATACCAGAGCACGGAGCACACCCTCTGCCACAAACCACACCGGGCAAGCTCTCCCTGAGGCTGCCCCACCAGCTCCTGGGGGCCCAGCGTGTACAGCCACGCACAGGCAGCACCCGGCAGTCCTCACCAGCCATCCACGAGTCCCCACCCGCCTCCCCAGTCTACCCGAGTAGAGGTGCTGGCCTGACCCAGAGTGACAACGCTGAGCTGGGTCCAGGGTCCACAAACGTGAGCCGTCATCTGAAGGGCCAAAGCCAGCCTCCTGACCTCTTTACCCCATGTCTGTCAAGAGGCTGGTCACCCAGGAGTGCCCACAGAGCAAGTGCCCAGCTGGGCCAGGCCACCAAGGCCAGCATCTGGCATATAGGTCATATTGCCGGAGGCCAGCCCCTTGCTGGACTGGGTGCTAGGAAGAAGGTTCTCTCCACAGTGCCCCTCACAACGCCAACAGAGGTCCAGCACAGCCACAGAGCCACTGCGAAGAGGGGCACCCAGGGCACCTAGGTGAAACAGGAGGGAGGCCCTGCGGAGCGAGCCACCACCAACCTCCGTCCAGGGGGCATGCTCACCGCTGCACACCACAGCCTGAGCCATCTGCTTGAGCCCAGCCCCAGGCAGCCACCCAGGGCCAACCCTGAGTGCAGACAGAGCCTGGGAAGAAGGTGCCCAGGAAGAGGGGACCAGGGGCGGGGCGGGGCGAGTGCGCGCAGTGGATGTGTGCTCCCGGCCTGGACGGCCCAGCAGCCTCTCCCTCCGTGCACAGGTGTCCTGTGGTGGAGACTCACCGCCGCGCTGGTGCTGGCGGGGGCCGGCTCGGTGCCCCCGTTCACGCCGGCGCTGCGGTCCCGCTGGGCCTCCTCTAGCCCCGTCACGCTGCTCGGGCCCTTCTTCTTCTTGAGCTTCGCCAGGATGGAGGACTCGCGCTCGGGGAAGGCGGGCATCTCCTCCAGGACCGTGGCCTGGGCAAGAAGCGAGGACGCCTCAGCCCCACTGGGCGCACAAGAGGGCGGAGACGAGACGTGGGGCGGCACGGTGGGCCGTGGGTGAGGGCTCCACTGGCAGGAGGCAATGGGGTCCCCGGGCAGCAGGCGGCGGGCGCCCTACCAGGATGTCGGTGCTGGCGATGGTGCTGAGCCGCAGGTACTCGACGGCGCGCTGCTGCAGCTCCACGTCGGCGTTGCGCAGCTGGCTGTCGCTGCGCAGCACGTCCTGGATGGTGGACTTCACCTCTGGGAAGAGGTTCACGAACTTGATGTAGGTGGACAGGAGGAGCGCCCGGGTGGGCACGCTGCACAGGTGGAACTTGGAGTGGAGCAGGCTGAACTGGATCAGGGGGCTGCAGGGCCGAGAAGAAAGGTGTGGTGGCAGCACCCCTCCACACGCCCTCACCTCGGTCTCCGCTCCTACCTCCTCACCCCAGCCCTCCAGAAGCCCCTGAGCCTGCACTGCACCCCAGGCCTGAACCAAGTCTCTCTCTAAGGGGGCAGGGTGCCCAGGATGTCTCCCAGAGTTCTCTGCAAACCCTGCCTCTGTCTGAAACACGCTGGCTCTAAAGCCCGTGTCATCAGCCAGAGCCTGCGTGGTGTGCTGCTCACGGAAATACACCGCTCAGCTCCGCTGGGATGGGGGCTGCCCTGAGCACGGACAAAGGACAGCCAGGAGCCTCGGGGCTGTGAGCTCACATTCAGAGAGCAGCTCAGAGGAGGGAGAAGAAGACACAACTGCTGAGCTGGTGCGTGCTCTGTTTAGTTGTTAAGAATTGGTTTCCACTTCAAAATGAGCTCATACAATGGCAAAGTTCAAACAGAGTCACTCCCTTCCCACCAAAGCCGTGTGCCCTCCCTTTAGCCTGGCAGCGGGGCAGGGCTCTCACCTGGATCTGGGGTCCCCGGCGATCAAGTTTCCAAACTCCCCTAAGATGTAGCCGCCTACTTTGACCAGATTCTCGTGGCACGCGGGCGCTTGCAGGGCCTGCAGAATCAGGAGGGAGTGTGGGTGGCCTGAACACACGCTGCAGCCAAGGGAGCGAGGGCGTCTGCACTGTCCATACAGACCACACATCCAAGGACCCCACTCCCTCAGCAGAGGCGTCCACAGGCAGATTGGACACCCCGGCCGATGGCCGTGGCCCCTCCCCACAGCATGTGGCCCACAGGGAGCTCCAATGGGGACGAGCCATGGCAAGAAGCCTCGGAAGCACTCTAGGGCAGCCCCTCCCCCACAGCCTGCGGCTGGCAAGGCAGGAAGAGAGGGTGCTCAGAGAGTGGGGGACATGGAAGGACACAGGGTGCAGACAGAAGCCCTCTCCTGCCGAGCCCTTGCCTCCCCGGCACCCACCTCAAATACGGTCTTGGCCGCATAGCCCTGCACGTCGTCTCTGTTAATGACTATCTGGATGACACGGTACCACACCTCCTCACTGACGTAGTCGCCCGCGATGCGGATCAGGTTGAGGATGGTGTCCACGTACCACGTGTAGTCCACGGCGTACTTCTCGGCCAGGATGGCCACCTTGAGCACCTGCACACAACATCCCTGTCACGTCACCGAGCAGTGAGCTCTGCCAGCACTGGGAAGCTCCAGACTGAGCACACAGGCAGGAAGCCGTGGAGGCTAACGGAATCCCTGCCACAGAGGCACCCCCACCCTTACACCCAGCAACTTCAGCAAGCAGAACCACTCCAATCCCAAAGCTTGCTGTCTCACCATCTCCACCCACTTTCTCCTCCTGCCAGCACCCTGGGGGGCTTCTCTGCCCCTGCTACACATCTACACACTGCTCCCCCACCCACCCACCCACCCACCTCCCAGCTTCCCACACTCACACATCCCTCCTGTGGCGGGCCCTGAGCAAACCAGCAGCCCTCTGACACCCAGTGCCAGTTCCCGCTGCTGCCACCTTTCCACCTCCTGCACCCCTATCTCCCAGCCAGGCCCCTGTGACTGGGGCCCAACACTAAAGCTGTCCCACTCCCGGCCACGCCGGCAGGGACAACCTGTAGATCCCCTCCTCCACCAGGCAGTGCCGCAGGGCCCAGGCTCCGACCCCCTGCCTCGCTGGACAGGTGGACAGACAGACAAAGCACTTCTCTGGGACCCAGAGAATGTCCCAGCAGGTCAATCAACATGTACAGGGGACACAAGGGGCACTCTAACCTGAGTCCATGTCACACCATCATGGCAAAGAGGACACCAGGGGCTACAGATAGCCCTGGGCTACACCCTCCCTATCTTGCCCAGTCCCTTCTCCACCCCCACCCCCCACCGTGAAGCTAGCCCACGCTGCCCCTCACGGAACACTATCTAAAGGGCGAGGTGTATGCCACCTGGAGGCCAGGCCAGTGAGGTCCTTCATCAACTCCCTCACAAGCCAGCGGGCGCAGCCCTAACAGTGGACACGGGACAGCAACGCACTCACGCACAAAGCTCCCCAAAGGGACGACTACGACAGGTCAGCCCCCTCTCTGCAGAGATGGGAGACGGACACCAACCAGACACACATACACACGAGGCCGGCTCCCTTATGCCCTCCCACAGAAGTGACCTCCACCACCAGCACCTGTGCGCCCAGGAAGGAGCAGCGATGGGTCCTGGTGCGACAGACGGGCTCAGGCCCCCCTAGCAGCCACACAGACGTCCTACCCACCCCGCCACCAGGTCTGCTCTTTGTGTGTTGTGGACCTTGCAGAGTACCCACCCCAGTGGATCAGACACCCCCGGGAAAGGTGAGCAGGGAAAGCTGGAGGCCGTAAGCTCATCCCAGAGAGACCAAGAGACCAAAAGGCACTTCCAAACATTGCTGGGAAACCCCTCCCCATGGCCTCCTGTCCAGTAGTCAGCAGCACGACCCTGTGCAGGACTCACAATCTCTTCACGGATGGAGTAGTCAGCTGTCTCCAGGTAGCTCAGCATCTCTGCTACGATCTGCTGCGCGTTGCTACGGTCGCACATGGCGTAGAGCAGGTCCACCGCCCGCTGCCGCACGCTCACGTCCCGCTCCGTCTGGGCACAGGAGGCGGCAAATCAACGACTGCCCCTGGAGACCATGGCCACCACCCATCACAGCACACACCGATGCCACTGGTTCTCCCATGGCTACCCCAGTACCGGCAGGCTACAGCACTCGTGCCAGCAGACCCCACACGGGCGGCCGGCGCTCACCTTGAGGGCGTTGATGACCGTCTCGATGTGCGTCTTGACGGCCTCGTGGGAGAACTCGGAGCTGGCCAGCGTGCACATGCTCTCCAGCGCCAGGTAGCGCAGGTTGGTCTCGCGGTGTTGCAGGAACTGGCCCAGCTGGTTGCAGGCACGGACGAGCAGGTTGGGCTCGCTGCAGAGAAGCAGGGCAGGGGTTCTCAGCACAGCCACCAAACAGGAAGCATGAGCAGTCGTGTCTTGTCCACGCACCAGAGGACAAGGGGACACGGCAAGGGGACACCACACGGGTTTCCAGACGCTTGACAACCCGAACCTAAAACAGCGCCTGAACCTTTCTGCCCTCTCTCTTGCCTATTCAACCCAGGCAGGTCAGCCCCATGCCTACTGCATGGCTCCACACCCACCATGGAATTCCACCCACGCCAGAGCCGATGACAATGGAAGCGCCATCACAACCGAGCAACCACGGAACATCAGCACAGTCTTTCTGGAGAGGGCACAGCAGCCTGCACCTGGCTGACCAGACACACCTGGAGTCTCAGCACAGGTCAAGAAAGAACTGTGTCGTGACCTCAGTGCCGCCTTTCACTATGGGCGAGACCGGAGCGCGGACACAGGTACAGATAAGAGACGAGCTCTCGGCACGTGGAGGCCAGGAACAGGAATGGGAGTAGCAATACCAGAAGGGCAGGAGGAAGGGGGGGAGAGGGGAGGGGGAGGCAAAACTGACCACAATGAGCAACACGTAACCACACACACCCCTCCAGGGGGCAAACAGCAAAAACCGCAGTGGGAGGGAGACAACAGTTGGTGTAAGGTATGAAAATAATTATAATTTATAATTTACCATGGAGTCATGGGGGGGTTGGGAGGCTTATACCAAGGGCTCAATAGAAAGTAAATGTCTAGAAAATAATGATGGCAACATATGTACAAATATGCTTAATACAATTGATTTTTTAAAATCATTTTATTGGGGGCTCATACAACTCTTTTATTTGTTTGTTTGTTTTAATCCTTTTATTAGGGGCTCATACAACTCTTATCACAATCCATACATACATCAATTGTGTAAAGCACATTTGTACATTCATTGCCCACTCATAGAACTCTTGTCACAGCCATACATACATCCATTGTGTCAACCACATTTGTACACATGTTGCCCTCATCATTCTCAAAACATTTGCTTTCTACTTGAGGCCTTGTTATCAGCTCATTTTTCCCCCTCCTCCCCACTCCCCTCCCTCACAAACCCGATAATTTATAAATTATTATCTTGTCATATCTTACACTGTCCGATATCTCCCTTCACCCACTTTTCCGTTGTCCGTCCCCCGGGGAGGAAGTTATATGTAGATCCTTGCAATCGGTTCCCCCTTTCTACCCCATCCCTCCTCCATCCCGGTATCGCCACTCTCACCACTGGTCCTGAATTCCCTGTGTATCCATTTCCTATCTGTACCAGTGTGCATCCTCTGGTCTAGCCGGATTTGTAAAGTAGAATTAGGATCAGGATAGTGGGGAGGAAGCATTTAAGAACTAGAGGAAAGTTGGATGTTTCATCAATGTTACACTGTACCCCTGACTAGCTCGTCTCCTCCCCGCTACCCTTCTGTAAGGGGATGTCCAGTTGCCTACAAATGGGCTTTGGGTCCCCAATCTGCATACCCTCTCATTCACAATGATATGATTTTTTTGTTCTTTGATGCCTGATACCTGATCCCTTTGACCCTCATGATCACAGAGGCTGGTGTGCTTCTTCCATGTGGGCTTTGTTGCTTCTGAGCTAGATGGCTGCTTGTTTACCTTCAAGCCTTTAAGACCCCAGA